TAGCAAGTAATGGGAGATGAGATCAGAGTTAGATTGAGCCAAGGTAGTGCCCAATTTTTAACTTCTCTCTTTGTAGTTCTTAGGAAGGTTCATAATTTCCTGTAGTTCCTCCAGTGATACACAGACTTAAAAAATGGGGAGAAATGATAAGCAAAACAGGTGCATCCAATCCCTAAAAAACAAAACCATATTTAAAATTCTCCTTCTGTAGGAAAATGTATTAACTTGGTTCCTATTTTATACAGTCAATTTTTCCTTATTAATGTTATTAAACCCAGTAATATGTGTTATTAAGAAGTTTCTAAATTTCTCCAGTACTGGAGCTCCACTATCTGTCCTGGATGTATATGGAAATACAGACATAGTATTAAACAACTTAAAATCCTGAGATGGTCATTACAATTCGAGTGGCACACACTTTCCCAATTTTCAGAGACTTCAACAACACCTACTACTGATGACATCAAGAGCTATTCCATTTCAAGGACCCTACTAAAATAAATCTCACAATGTCCCCTTTTTGATGTGTTCAATGGGCAACAAATTGTCCTTTTGTGTAGGATTTTAGCATTTTTAAACCTTCTTTTGCAAGTGATTGAAGAGATTGAGCCATAGCAGAAGTGAAGAAGAACTTATCCTATATTGGTTGATAGTTTACAGCTATATTTACATGGCTACACTTTGTTCCTGTTATTTCCCAGTAAGTTGTCAGAGTAGCTCTTTAAGAACCAGCAGCAGTTTGGTAACAAAATGCTAGCAAGCATATTCTTTTTTCCTGTTATATCCTGAATACTTATCCCAGATATACTGGAAAATAGTGGAATGTCCCTTGTTCTAATTAGTGCTGCATCAAAATTGTTCATTAGATGTGTTCTAAGAGAAGAATTTGTGAGTGCACGTGTTGGTTTGGATACATTGCTTTAAACACTCTGTAAAATACACAGAGAATCACATTGACTATTAATTTATTCAAAATACTTTACCATTTGCATGTCCTAAATGTTAGTAAATTGTTTACCTAGACTGATTATTTGCAGTGTAAATTATCACAAAGCATTTAAATGCCACTAATTTTGATGAGGAGGAAGCACCGTGGCACAATAGTGAATAAATGAAGCAATGTCTGTGTGACTGAACCAGCTTACTGATTTGCAGTGTGACAATATAGTTTAAATCCTTCTTACTATTTTCAGCATGGAAATCAGAATCTATTCTGCTAACCTTCTGAGCTTCTAAATTTGGTGTCATGCAAGGGCGTGTTTAAAAATTAGCATTTAAAAAGAAACCCACTTGCTTTAAGTTTAAGCTGACACTGTTCCTTTCCTCTGTGGAAATGAAATTTATTAATCATAATAAAACCATCATATTCTGAAGGTAGAGGTCACCCTGAGGAGAAAGAAAAAAAAAAAAGTCTATTCATCACAAAGGAATTTCAATGCATTTTTTTTTCCCAGATAATATCTGAGCATGTGTTCTTTCCCCTTTGGAAATCTATTCTTCTGTGTTTGTGCTTACATATGTCAAGTGTATTTAGGAAGGTGCAAAACTGAAAAATTTTGCAGTTTAATTTTATATACTTTCTTTTACAGAAGAATTTACATTCTTCTGCATTTTACAGTGCAGAATATTCCAAATTCCATTTGGAAGAATGCTTTTTACATTTTATTTTGTGTTTACATTGCACACATTTGTTCAGGTGGTATTTCAATAGCTTGTAAAGGAAAAAGAAGTTCCTTTATTTTAACAAGAATATAAGCATTACTAATTCTGAAAAATCATTTCTATGTTAATATCACAGTACAAACTTCAGCATTATCATAATAGAAATGTAAAACATTCTTTTTAAGGAGCCAGGATTAACTCTGGTCAGAGTTCTCACATTAGGATTACTTCCCAGCTCTTGTTTCAAGGAAGAAACATGGTTTACACAGTAAGATGAAAAAAAAAAAAAGCAGTGTAAAACACTAAGTCATTACTACTTTGGCAAAAGAGTAATCAAATTGTACTCAGAAGTCAGTACTAGGTTGGAACAGTCATATTTTCAACTTCTGAAATTGCTTAGTGTATGTGTTTCACCATATTTTCCCCTTAGTTGTCAAGATTTCTGTCAAATGGTGGTATAATAATGTTAGCAACCCTTTTTATTACATCAGTGTTGTGAGCTTGACAGTGAGCTCAGGGGCTTGCTTAAATATAATAATAATTTAATAAATCCTCAGCACTGTGTATTCAGGCTCATTCCTTCCTTACAAGTGACCTTTGCATTTAGGCCACTTTATCCCCCACCACGTGTGACCTGTTAGACTTTGTTTTGTGAGACACTTTGACATAGTCAAGGATCCTGAAGGAATGGGATGTAGGATGGAGAAAAAATGCAGCCATATCACAAGACCACATGGAATGTAATTTTTACAGATCTAAATTTGCAGTCTTTGTTCAGAATTGTAGCTAAAAAATAAGGGGGAAAAAACAGGAAATATACTGAGTCCTATTGCTTTAAAAATAATAGTCCTGGCATTGAAGCATGTATAATAATAGTACATGCAATTCCTCCTCCGTGCTACTAGGGACAGGAGGGAAATTTATAGTGCTGGAAACATGTCTAGCTTTGAATGAATCGTTTTCCCTTCCTAGATGTTTCCTTACTGTTTGAATGAGATTTGGCTGGAGAGAATTAAAATTATAATGATGTTTAAAATGGATTCTCAGGCTTTAAAAATGAGCATAGTGTGGAAATGTCTTCATTGTAGATGAACAAGACATAAGGGATTCTGTTACGGCTACTATCAAAGCTAAGTATTTTAAATCTCTAAATATTATGTTTGCATCCTAATGCAAAGTTACCAAGGCTGAGGTTTATGGAAGTTTTTCCTACCAAAGAGGCTCCAGAGTGTGGGATCAGTGTCATATCTGCTCAAAGAACTCTCAAAATCCCTTTCCAACTCAAGGGATCACCAAGTGTCATTTACCCAACAGAGGCTGATATGAGCTATTTTCATTCCTTTTTTTTTTTTTTTTTTTTCAGTGAGAACTGCCCATTGTCTTTGTTGTTAACTGCCTTGGATAATTTCCAAAGATAGGTATTCATGGGTACCAAGTATCTGAATAAAATTGATACGTAAATTAATTCCTTCCCTCTTCAATATTTTGAATGCCAAAGAGAAACGAAGACTTTATGCAGGTCTTTTACAAATATTTTCCTGAGTTTAAGATCATGTCTTAAAGAAAGTGATTGCCTAACACACTGCTACCCCTGGATATTAATGTATTTATTTGATAGCAGTGAGGACTTCTCTATGCAGACCTAAAGTAAACATAGCTGTGGGGTAAGATATAGAGCCCACACACATGAACTTGTAGTACTTTCATAAGTGAACTCATTTTTAATGTATTATTCCTTGATAGAAATTTGATTTACTAAGGAAACAAGTCAGTACAACTGTAAGCATTCAGCTACAGTGGTTGTACTTTGGAGTGAGATATCCAGATTTTAGAATACTCGATAAGAACATAGATCCACTTTACATTTGCATCAAATGTTGGACTCTGTTTCTGGGAAAAAATGGTTAATTCACAATACTGAATATTAACCAATGTACACACAGAATTTTGTACTTACTGAACTTTTTTTTTACTTTTATTTTTCATCAAGATGTGTGGTTATATATTCTTGTAAGAGGACAAACCTATAACTTCTGCAGATCTGTTACCTTAGGCTTGTTCACAGAGTGAGACATGGAAGTCAAGGCTTTGCCTTTTCCCTGCTGAAGCCTTTTGCCTTTAGCTAACACAGTTGTCCCAGGAGGTGATTTGCTGGGATTTCCATATGAAATGAATCCCTCATAATCTTGCAAATGTTGGCTCAGGGAGATGGAGAATTAAAGATTACCTTGCCTATGGTAATCCCTGGTCCTTCCTTGAAGATGTCACTGGGTAGGTGGGAATGTCTAGTTCAGATAATTTGGACCTTTTCCTACCTCAACCTCCAGGACCCACACCAGTGGGTGGCAGAGGATTGCATATGCCATGGAAACATTACTTCCTTAGCTTTCCCTTAGCTGATTAGCAAGGAATCCACTAATCAGACTCCACTTGTGGAGGGGAAAAAATATGATAATAAAATAGAACCACTGTCCTCTCTTCAGATAAAGGAAGTGCATATATTTATCTGAAAACTAAAGTAGTTACACAGAATGAGGCCAGTCTGTGGTTGCTGTTCATGTAAGGCTACAAAACAATGATTTTTGTTTTTTTAAGAGATATCAAGGGTAGTATTAAAACTTAATTTCTTTACTACGTTAGTCCTCATATACAGGACAGCACTGTTATTAAAAGATTGCTTTTGTTGGTCTATGTGGCAACTGAGAGCAAATGGAAATTCTCTGCTTATAGGAGACATATTAGACATGTGCAGTGAAACCTGTACCTAGTTGACAGGTCCATCTCACTCATAGTGACTGTATTCACCCTCGGACTGGGCAGCAAAGCTTTATGTTTCAAGGTGAAACTGAGGACTGGGCCACCAAATGCACCAGGGGTACATGCAAAGGAGCTTTGAAGCAGTTTCAACTATCAGGATTTTGTGTGGGGAGAAGTAACAAAAATCTGATGTTTACATCACTGACTTTGCCTGCTTGGAGCAGGAACTTGGCCTTCAGCTATGCAAGTGGTTTAGGAAGACACTGTCTGTTCTGTAGAAATACCAGCCATGTGCAATAGGCACATTCCTTAAAACCATGTGCCTGGTGTGGCTCTGCAGCCACTCAGCCTGATGCTGACTCTTAATAGACTCATAAAGCTAATTATACATGGACTGTCATTTTTAACCTTAACATTTCCCAAAGGATATTGCTTTAGAATCTGCAAAGTGAGTTTATTTGTAAGGAATTTGGATAGAGTGGAATATTTCATTGTGACCATTTTGTTAATATTGACAATATCTGATTTTAACTTTTTTTTTTCTTTTTTTCCCATTAATCTTAAATCTCTTTTCTTTTCAGTTACGGACGAGTTTATGCTGCAGACCCCTACCACCACACACTTGCTCCAGCAGCCACCTACGGCGTTGGTGCCGTGGTAAGTGATCATTTCCTCCTCTTCCTCAGCACTGTCTTTCCCATCTCCCCACGCTCCACTCTCTGCTTGGATCTTAGCACGGTTGACATCTTCTCACTTTTAGTTAATTGAATTTGTCTCTTGTGCTAACGGCAGCTAAAATGCCACATTAATCCTCCCAGTAAACTTGATAAATGTCTTAATTTCTTGGCAATGTACTGCATGTAAGTTATTATATTTCTAATTTTGCAAGTATCACCTAGCTGAGCACTTACCTTAATGGAATAATTAGTCATTTTGATAATTAAATCCATCACTAAAGGAATGCATTGTCAATGCAGAACATATTTTCTTTTTTTTTTTTTTTTTTT